GGGCCTTGGACATCTTCTAGTCCAATCCCCTGCTCAGGAAGGAAACCCTATACCATTTCAGACAAATGGCTGTCCAATCCCTTCTTAAAAACTTCCAGCGTCGGAGATTTTTCAGTGCTGTTATAACTTCAAAGAGTTACTAATAGAAATGGTTGTAAGTCGTGGGTTACCTGTGTAACTTTTTCTGAGCATGACATCTCCTTGGCATTTGAGTTAGCATGTCAGGGACATATACTGAAAAGGAGTAAGTGGAGAAAGAAAAAAAACAAAATTTCCATTTACGTCATTTTAAAGTCTAAATCCTTAGTCTAAATAGTCAACTATTAAATAGTTTCACCCTTCTGTCCAATTAAAAATTAAAGTTGTGCAAAGCACTTGCAAGAGGTATTTCACAAAGCATACAAACATTTTAAAACACCTTTTTCACTAGCAATGGTCTGATTACACAGATGGGTAAAACTGAATCTTCCTGGATCATGCCCAAAGCATTTTTTTTTAATGAAGGTACTATGATGCCAAATGATGAAACCAACATTGTGATACTTTGCCATTTGTAGTTTCGTCATTTGTAGTTTCCTGGAGATGTTGCAACTCTGTAATAGTGGAGTTTCCATAGCAATATCTCCACATATTTCATCACTTGTCCTCAGTGATGGGATTCAAGTAATTTAACAACCGGTTCTGTGCCCTAATGATTTCTTCCAACAACCAGTTTGCCAAACTGCTCAGAAAGTTAACAACCGGCTCTCCCAAAGTGGTGCGAACCGGCTGAATCCCACCACTGCTTGTCCTCCATTGTCCCCACTTCTTCTGGACACCTGTGGATGAAAAATGCATCTCTTGGGAAATATTTTAGACTCACTATTTAGTATTTGTCTTATCTATTCAGTCAATGACCAGCAAATTTAAAAGAACAATAACAAAATCTTATTAAAATATACAAAAAACTAATTGACGTATCTTAGAATGTAGAAATTGAGAGCCAGTTTGCTCCAATGATGAAGGCCCCAGACTAGAAACCAGGAGACTGTGAGTTCTAATCCCGCTTTAAGCACGAAAGCCTGTGTGACTTTGGGCCAGTCATTCTCTTTTAGCCGATCTAACCACACAGGGTTGTTGTTGTTGAGAAAATAGAAAGAGAAAAGAATAGCAGATATGTTCACCACCTTCAATTATTTATGAAACTAATAAAGGTGGCATTAAAAACTCTTTTAAAATGGTGAACTAGGAGTGCTCCGTCCAATAAATTGTCTGCAGTAATTTATGATTTAAAGATTAGAAATATGTATAAGTGGTATTGAGAGACTGACTCAAGAGTAAATAATGGAAAAAAACAGGAACAAAGGCACTAAAGAATGTCTGAATGCTTATTCCTCTGCCTGTTCCAAATAGGCAACCTGAGACAACCTTGGCTTGCTACAAAACAGGCCCTGTCTTTACCGATATTGAACCATGCATGAATAATTGCCTTTGAGGCATTTTTTCTTGCCAAGTAGATGGCTTTTGGAAGCCAATTCTAGCTGACTTCATTTCCTCAGGATACATCTACTGCTGAAATCTAAACTGTTTAGATGCCCTAATTTTCTCTAAGAAATCTTGCGAATTTTAGGGAAGTGTGAGATCTCTGAATGAAAATAGGGTAATTTCAAAGGCTTTGGTCAGAACTAATTTAAAATTGATTTATGTATGCTTACTTTTAAATACAGGGAAGTCTGTGGTTTGGTAAATATGGATTATTTCCTCCTGAAAAGTATAGTCTCTTGGAAAAACATACCTGCATAACCGATCTGAAATATATTTAAAAGAGCTTTGATTACGGCAATATTTTCTGTTCCAAAGGGAAATGGGCGAAAAAATAAGAGCGGGACAAAGTTAAAACCGAAGCCAGAAATTATGTGAGCAATAGAGTTATTATCCTATATTTTCCAAACCATTGATACTCATTCAAAAGAATCTAAACATTTACAGAAACCAATTAATCTTCAACAGCAAAATTAATATATGAAACAACTAATTTGATTTCACGTGACCACATCGTATCAACCAACACTGCATTTTGTGCTCAACCTTAAATGATTCTATCCCTTTCTATTTTCCACATTTTAAATTAGTTTTTAATTAAAATATCCTTATATTTATTCCTTATATTATCCTTTGTCACCTTTACTGTCATAATAAAATATTGGAGTTAGTAAAGCTACTAGAGTCATTGAATCCATCCCTCTGCTCAGTGCAGGACTTTTGAAATAACTAAAGAGATCTTCTCTTTTGGCCATCAATTCATGAAAAGGCAATGCTAGTGATCTTTTAGAACAATGCATGTATCTTGAGTAAATATTGGCTAAGATGTTGGATTATAACTGGATCATGGGGAACTACATAAGTAAGTCCTCCCTAAACCACAAAAGGTCACTAAATCAAATAATTGTTGTTGTGGTGTAACAATGGGGAAGGAAATGTTGTGTGCCACAGAGCAAATAAATTGAAACAGATAAATAATTTGTCATTGTTTGATTGTAAATAACCAGAATTCTTTACAAATTAAACACAAAGCATTGCCGGGTTAAACATTGCTTCAGGTGGGGTAAACATCTGCTGATTCATACATATATTAAAGAGAGGAAAAAGAAAGGAAGGATCAGCAACAGCGGATTTTCCAAAGGTGTGTCATATTAAGAAAATCTTGGCTTGTTTTTTAACGTTAAGGTGCCTCAAATATTCTCAAAAAGAAATGACTAGTTGTTTAAAAAGGTATTTGCTCCCTTTATGAAACCAATGCAATGACAATTTGATTTGATTTGGAATTGAAGACTTTGTTGTGCCATAAAACCATGCTTTATGAAGGGCACTCAATTTCCTTAGAAAAGACAACATTGTAAGTAGATTTAGATTTAGCTTTTTAGAGCTTAACATTGTCAAAATCAACAAAAGAACTGACTGAGAACAGCTTAAGAAGGTATAGGAAATGTGAACACTTTTTTTGTGATAACCAAATGTTGTTTATTGTGCACAGGAATTGAGTTCTTTCACTAGATCAGAAATGTCATTTTGCCCCAACAATTGTCATATTTTTATGCACCTCTTACTAGCAGTGTCCACTAGCAGAATAAGCAGGGATCAGGCTGACAAAAGCAGAACAAACCCCATTCTTTTTCTCTGTACATTGTACATAAATGTTTTGAATACTGCTGCATGTTATTTTTGTTACCTGCTTTAGAAATCTAATAACTTATCTAAAAATAGGGCAGGTTAAAAATTGGAAAACTACCCTGTGCTACATGGAATGTGAAGAATGTCATTCTGTAATAAAGATATAATGAATATTCCTCAAAAAATATAAAGTAGCAAAAAGTAATCTAAAATATATTTAAAGGTAGATCATGAAAATGCTCAGCTTGTTTGACGTTCCTAAAAATATATTGATGGAAAGATTTGGGGATCTTTCAGTTACAGTTCCTCTGAAAATTGCCGTTCTCAGAAGTCTAAAACTTTCTTCACAAATCTAAGTCTATGCTACAAAATTTTCCATGACCTGTGAAATATGAGATTAGTATCTTTTTAATCTAAACATGCTGCAAAAACCATAGGTTTAGAAGATTTACCTTTTGAGGCTTGTAGGCTGGAGAGGAAATAGCTCATCTGAGGATTTCCTGTGGATTCTGTATTCTGGACTTATAAAAACTTCAGGCAAAAATGGTTGTTTGGGAGATGTTTAAATGTCTAAATGTTAAACTGTTTTCCAGATATGTTAACTATTATTTCAGTTGTACTAGTTAACATTTTTATCACTCAAGGTAACCTGGATTTTATTCAGACAGCTGTGCAGGTGTACTCTTGCTCTGGGACAAACGTGTGAGAAATAGATTCAGGATATGCCCATAATGTGGTGAAGTTGTCACAATTATTCACCATTATGCATATGATCAATTTTGGCACTTTTGAAATTCAGGAAGTACCCAAAACTCTACCTGCATGAGCAATCATATCTTTATTTAATATTATTTGAAAAACCTGAGGATGTTATCAGAGACAAATAAATTTAGCCCAGATCTAAAAAATAATAATATACTGTACAGATAGTCCTTGACGTATGACCACAATCGAGCCCAAAAATTTCTGTTCCCTAAGTGAGACATCTGTTCTATGGGGAGAATGTGCTTGCTGCATGAGAATAAGAATAAAATTCCCTATGTAAGCGGAAGTTAACTTCTTTGTAATGTCATAATAAGAAGCCACATTCCAAACACTTTAGATGTTGTTGATCTACAACTCTACTCCAAAGTATCTGTCATCATTGGCTTTGATAAATAGAACTGAGAGATTTGGGGGTACATTGGCTTTCCCATTCCTAGAAGCTGAGAATGAAAACAGTCAGTTTATTTTGTAGAAAAACAAATATTCTAAGCTATAAGGAAGAAATCTTAGAAAAGTGTTCCCCAAATTGGTGGACTCATAGTATACGAAAGTAAAATTGCCATAAGAAAATGCTGGTTTGCATTTAGGAAAGCTATAATCCAGAGGTGTCAAACTGGATTTCTTCGAGGGCCAGATCAGCATTCTAGTTCTCTGCGGGCCAGCGAAGGAGGGAAGCGGAGAGGGGAGACGGGACAGACACCTCCTGCAACACCCTGCTGGCCAAAATGGGGTGGCGGGGGCACTCGAGGCCTCTGCATGGCCTGTTTTTGGCCGGCAGAGTGCTGCAGGAGGCCATGGAGGCCAAAAATGGGCCGCGAGGGGGAGGAGCACACCATTTTAGCTGGCAGAGGCACCATAGGCCGGTCCTTTGATATTTCCAGGCCAGCCCCGCAGGCCGGATTGAAGCACCCTGTGGGCTGGATCCAGCCCGTGGGCCTTGAGTTTGATACCCCTGCTGTAGTCCAACCTATCTGGAATGTGTCAGATAAGGGAAGGCTGTTCTGCAGAATGTGTGAAACCACTCATACGTTTTATTCTTTACTTTATATTGTTATTTAAATATATGTATTTCCAATGTTTTTCAGGTGCTGTTTGCTTTGAATCAAACATTATTACAACATGAAAGTCTTCGAGCTGGCAGCTGGCAGGCTCCTTACACAACTGAAGACCTTATCAAGCATTACAATTGTGGTGACCTAAATGCTGTTATATTCAATCATGATTCTTCACAGGTACAATGATTTCACAATTGTCTTACATTTGGGCAAGACCAAAAAGGCATAATTGTTGCATCTCACCACTACATTTGGGTTCACATTTCTTTGGCCTGTTCTGTTATCTGGCTTGAATAGATATGTGGAGAAGTTAAAACAGGTATAACCCGATGATATTTTCCTATCCCCCTAATTTCCCAAAACAAGTATTTGAATTTCACTGGAGAGATAAGGAACATTTTATGACATCCACAGGCATTATTTAACTAAACTAAACTAAACTAAACTAAACTAAACTAAACTAAACTAAACTAAGATACAATTATTATAAATCTGTGGAGTAATACAGAATTTGTTTATACATGGAAGTATAGCTAAATCCTTGAAATAGGCATAAGAGTCAAGGAAACATACTCTATTTGACTGTGATTCAGAGTACATCATTGTTTAAAATTATTCCTGGAATTAAAGAAAAGCTGCTGAAGACAGAGCATGAGTTTTGTTCATATACATTAATGATAGTGAGAACTCAAAATGGATCTTCTTTAAAACATTTCTTCGGATCTAATTGAATGCTGGTCCTGTTCTCAGTTATAGATGCATCTCTTCTCAGTGATCTTGCTGATTGTGGTGATGTGTCCCACTTTTCTGTGACATATGAGATACTGTGTAATAATCAATAGCTAATTAAATTCAGTTTAGGCTTTTCATTGCATTTAATTATAGTTAGTTATAGATATGAATCTCTATACCCTGTTTTCTGCGTTTCATTCTCTCTCCTTCCCCCTCGAACTAGGAGAATAAGAAAGAAGAAAATATTTTCTTCTGAGTCCTCTACTTTTCCAGGTCTATCCAAGCCTGCAAATAAAGTTGTTACAAACTCCATGGTCTTAGGAAGGACTTCCCCCATGCAATGTTCACTGCTGCCATTTTGAGCAAGACCATTGTAGAACTGGACAATAATTTAGAGATATGATTAGTAATAAACAATCCTCAAAAGGCCTTTACCTTGTCCTAACACATTAATTCTTCCGATTCTGCCCCAGTGATATCTTCAAGATTTTGGTTGTCCCAAATAACACCAGTATTATAAAAATCTGTGTGGTTGCTAACAATGACTTGATGACCCATGATCAACATCAAGCATGTTTTGATTTTGGCCTATTCCATAAAGCAGTCAAGCAAATGTTCTCTTCAACAGATTTCACAATGACAGTTGAAGGCTTATTAAAACAGGGGTGCAAAAAAAATGTGCAAAAGGAATAAATAAAGGAAGTGGTGGGACTAGGTGGTTACTTCAAAAACACGTATTTATTACCTCTTAGTGAGAAAAAAGTTTGATTCTCTTATTAGGAGAAGGTCAAAGCATTTCTATCTAGAACAGGGGTGTCAAACTCACGACCCGCGAGCAGGATGCATCACACGCTGGCTACTCCCAGCCCCAGTTTAGCAAAGGGGGGAAAGTCACAATACATCATGTGACGACAACATGACAATGTGAGTTTGACACCCCTGATCTAGAAGAACCATAAATACCTATTCTAGGAGATCTTATAACGTGAAGATAGGTTTCATAGGAGTAAGTTCAGGGGTGAAGTGCTCCCGGTTCGGACCGGATCGCCCGATCCGGTAGTGATGGCGGCGGGTGGTTCGGAGAACCGGTAGCAAAAATCCCTGCTTCCCCCTCCCCACCATGCCCAGCTGAGCCGCGCGATCATCAGAGGCTTTTTTTTTTACTTTTAAAAGCATTTTTTCTACCACCTCTTCCGATGAAAAAATGCTTTTAAAAGTAAAAAAAAAAGCCTCTGATGATTGCGTGCCTCAGCTGGGATCATCAGAGGCTTTTCAAAGCATTTTTTTCTGCAACCTCTTGGCCGAAGAAGTGGTAAAAAAAATGCTTTGAAAAGTGATGATCCCAGCTGAGTTCCCTGATCGGCAGAGAGGCATTTTTTAAAGAGGCTCTCTGACGATCCCAGCTGAGTTCCCTGATTGGCAGAGAGGCTTTTCAAAGCATTAGAAAAAATGCTTTGAAAAGTTTTTTTTAAAAAAAAGTTGGCCACGCTCCCCCCCCATTCACATTACCCCCCCCCCCAAGCCAGGGCCACAGAACCAGTATAACAGATTTTACATTTCACCCCTGAGTAAGTTGCATTGATCAAAACTATTCGGAACAATGGCTTTGGAGTTACTTGGTACTAGATAGCTCAAATTATTATAATCAAAATGCCCCTACAATACAACCCCCAAACTGGTCTAAAACATCTCAAAGGATCCCAGCTGCAAAATGATCAAACCAGCTAATGATCAAACCGCCCTGCCATCCTTTACTTGCTTTCTGCTCTTTTCTCTTTTGCTTGTCTTCTCTGCACCCTGGAAATTCTTATGTTCTTCACACGTCTCTGGTTTCCTTGAGAAACACTACAATATCACCCCTAGATTAATTTTTGTAGAGTTGTTCTATATGTTTTGTTCTAATGATGGATTAAAAGGTTTTTGAATGGAATGTGTGCATAGTAGAAAGTTAACTGCAAGTGCTTGCAAGGCCTTTGAACATAATTCCCTCTCCTTAGGACAAAAGACTTGATAATAATTGAGTTTGTATCCGAAGAGGAAATGAGCATTATGGCAATAAGTTAAGAGGCCAGTTAATTTCCTAAACATGTCATAATTCATTCATAATTTGTGTGTCATATGACTTTGGGTGGAATCTATTGCTTTCTCTTAGATCTTCTATATCATAATGAACTTTGAAAAGCTTCTGTGGTTTTCTTACTTCCACCCTATGCAAGCAATTCAAGCAGGCACAGTTTATACATCTGTAACTGCCACCAGCAAAAGGTAATGCAATGGAATGTGATCCATCCACTTAAAGGACTTCTGTGTCACTGCTTAAATCACTTCAGTTTAAATGACTTGGATTAATTTGGAAGCCTCAGATATATCTGATAATGGGTTTTAAAAATAAACAGAGTGCTATCCTTCAAATAACTGTGGGGGGGGAGCTTACATTTCACTGAAAATAGTAATCAACAGCAACTTGTCTGTGACAGTAAAATAGAAATCTCACATAACCGTTACAAAAAGTGAGGGGAACACATGTTTTTCAGTAAAAAATCAATTATACCATCTTGATTTTAATTTCCACTGGGAACTTGAGCAGCAAACAAAACAAACAAAAGCTTGTATTGTTGGTGTGATTGTGTTACATTTTTCTCTCCATAGTTTTCTCACTTAAATCCTTATTTAATCTCAGTAAGGCTGAACAAGACAAAGTTTATTTAGTTGAAGCATGTCAGAGAAATACAATAGGAAACAGCTCACTTTGTTGTGTGCGTTTCTGCAACATGCTTGACTAATAAATTTACAGCACATTTTCTGGCAAAGCTGTCAAAGCGATACAAAACTTAGCATTCTTCAAAACAAAGACAGAGATGTTGTGATTTCTCCTTCGTTGCTCTGAGTGGATAGCCTTAGCTTTCAAGGAAGATTTCCCTGTTCAGATTTATGTTTCCATTAACATTTCCTGAGATTTGATTTGTGTAAGCATTTCAATGCCCATGCTAACTTCCATCTACTTTAGCCTTCATCTCATACTCAACTGTACTCTATATGTGCTTCTAGAGTATAGGTTCAGCTTGTGATGCCATTTCTAAACTGATTGAAGTTTGTAGCCTTCTAACTCCCCACTCTCTGAAGTCATTATAATGTAGTATAAACAGACATATATCCATATTCATTTAGTTCTTTTTGTCATAAGTATTAGCTATAGAGGGAGATTTCTCTGAAGTTAAGTTTACAATTTCTGATTGGCTCCTATTATAAATTCACATAATCATGTTAACATATGCATTTTAGCAATCATCTGTTCATCATTTGTATGCAATCCTGTTTCAAAGTCAGTCACACAGTATTCAATACCATAAATTCTTTTTGTCTTCTTTCACTCTTTCTGATAACTGTAAATAGGAAAACCATTGACAGTTATGTCCCTCTGCCAACAGTTGTTCTCGATTTTATTTTGTATTCCACTTGACAGAATTCTATTGTCTCATATGTTAACCGTTTGTGTTTGTCTATTGTTTCTTGTATATAACATGCCTATTGTGCTGAGAAACACAGAGATGTTTCAGGCACAAACTGGATTTACTGTATTTCATATTCTTAGTATAGCATATCTAACAGGGTGATTTTTAAAATCTATATTAACTTTGATTTTATCATTCCACAAATAAACATGCCACCCAAATTTCAGGTCATGCTCTTCTAACTCTAAGTCTTCTGTTTCTCAACAGTGATATACTGTAAACTATGATGTGGATATCAGAAAGTTAAATTTGGGGATCACACAATTATTTGGCTCTGAGGGTGAATTAAATTAGGAATTACGGTCACTGTTGCTACTAAGATGGTTCAAAATAGTAAGAGTCTGTAAACTTTATTTGAATCTTTATCAATCATATTTATATATGTATGTATACACACACCCCGTGTTTCCCTGAAAATAAGACTCTGTCTTATATTTTTTTGAACCCTGAAATAAGCGCTTGGCCTTATTGCCACACGCTCAAAAGCCCGATTGGGCTTATTATCAGGTGTATGTATGTATGTATATATATACACATACATACATACATATACCTGATAATATATAAATCATATATATATATGATTTATAATTTATTTTAATTAAGGAGGTAGTCGAACTCTTGTTAAGGAGGTAGTCAACTACTCTCTGCGGTAGTTGAGAGATAATGTGACCTTATAAAAACCATGATTTGTTACACTATTGTAAAAATGTTGCCTATTTAAATAGGTCAAACTATACACTGTGTTTAATACCTAGTGTGACACTTTGGGGAGGGGGGTATTTTCATATTCAAATTACTAAAGATGTCATGATTATGTCCTCTGAACGAAAGGTCATAAGTTGAGGACTACCTCTACTGCATCTTTAGTGTATTACAGTTTCTGGATGAGTTTGGTATATTCGTTGTAGTAATTTTGATTTGTAGAAAATT